CTTTGGTCATCTTGGAGGCAGGCCTCGAGGAATTCATCACATGTCTTGTTGTGCCTTGTGAGTGATCTGAACTAGGTACTGAACCTTTTGACCCTTTGGTCTGAGATGCAACATGTTCTGCTTGATTTCTGCTAGTTTTTTCTCCCAACTTAACTCCCGCCTCTGTGCAAGCAACCTTAAGACTCAGAGGTGATCTACCTCTCGAGTCTCAAAATGCTTCTGGTGAGACCCCTCCTACCATGTCCATATCCGAAGGACCTCCCCTCTAATCGACGCCAACTCGTTTCCTCTTGCTAGATACCTTATTTTTACCGTTGGATATTGAAAAAGATCATGTTGAGATTGTGACATGTAGTGCAACATCAGTGTTTTTTTATTAATCATTTGTGATTTTTTCTTCGCTGCAACCTGTTGGTCAATTAGCATGCTCGATTAGTGATGTGTTTCTAATTATGACACAAAGACTGCGACACATCATTACTTTGAAAAAGTGATCTCATGCGAGCGTTTGCAAAGCACTGAAGATTTAACGCGTAATGTTGATAACTTTGTCATGTTTATAGAAAAAAATTATGTTTTTCGAATCCAGAAACCAGTACTACTGAAGTGGCTATACATACCAACTTTTCATAGATCTGTATGTTTTTATAGGAAACAAAAGTTTTGAAACTGGCTGGTATACAACTATAATGAAGTTACCGGGTTTCAAAAGACTCTTCTATATAAGATATGTTGATGATGTTGTTATTATTATAACAAAAGGATCCAAAGCAGATGTTGTTGATATCAAAAGGTTGGTGACTCAATTCTTATCTAAAGGGTTCCGCATGTGTGGATATCTCTCCTAAGTACCCAAATTCATGTCGTGAAATGAAAGATACAAAATCAAGTCTCTTGGGTTAGGCGCAAAGCACACGGAAGAGTAAACTGAGGAATGATACACACGAGACTCATTCTCCGCCGAACCCCTATCGAGGAGCTTATTGTTGTGGGCGGAAACCTTGGTCTTATTCAACACTATAGCTAGGGACATACCTCGCTGATGGTGAGAAGAAGGATTTTCACGAGCGGATGGTTCGATGAAGCTTGTGACTTCCTGATTATTTGGTCTTGGGTTGCCATACCATTTGATCTTCTTTCTACATAACTCGACAATTTTGGTGCTAACTCACCTTGATCTTCGAGTCTCACCTCACTATTCTGTTAAGAGAGTCTACCAGTGACGCGGTTTTGTTGACCAAGACCCTGGTCTACCCCTTTGTAAACATAAAACTTCATCCCCTCGACATTCACATATGGTGTCTCAAAGTTTTTCATATTCTTCATGGAAATAGTCTTTACATCGCTTGCACAGGGGGTCGTTGAGAAAACCATCTTGAATTCCCTCATGTCACAGTTGTCGTTCGGAACCCAGAGTCTATCCACCGTTCGTTCCCTGTATGGAGGTTCAATATCAGACGTAAGGTTAAGATTATTAAGAAACTTCTGTTTGCTTCTGTCCCTAATCGGAGGGTGGTCTTTCATTATTGTTTCAATCACCCCTCTAACAACAACCTTAGTATACACTCTCAATTATAGTGCCATGATAAAAAAGGTATTCTCAATTTTCAATCTTCTAGAATCTCTCCACCCGACTCTAGTTATCCTTAGTACGACAAGCCTCAGAGATGAATCTCATCATCCCTCTACTCGATGAGCCAAGTGAAGACCACTCTATCTGTGCGGTGGAGAATCGAAAACACCATCTCTCGCCTATTGGCAACCATTTTCATAGGTGCATATTAGATCTGCTTTAACTTTCCTTGGAAGTTCTCTGGCCGCATCCCTACATACAACAACAACTGTACGCTCCTTAAGCCATTGCACTTTGATCTGATCAAAGTGAGTCTCACAGTTGACAACAAAAATCGCCTCTTTGTCCTCTATTTCGATACTCTTACAGGGAATATCATATGGGATGTTGCCTTCCTCAAACTGCCATTTCGTCAAAATGGATATTTTTTATTTTTTGAACGAAATTGAAATAGAGTTTTTTCAACGTTTTTTGTCGAAAACTTGTCTAAATTTTGCTGCTTATGAGAGTCCGACGTTTTTAAAATGTCGGACCCCCTGGATGTATCATGACTAAGCTTGAGACCAGATACATCTAAGGGGGACCGCTTGGATGTATCTGGTCTTAAGCTTAGTACGGATACATCGAGGGGGTCCGACGTTTTAAAAACGCCGGACCCTCAAGAGCAACAAAATTCAAACGAGTTTTCGGGCAAAAAAAATTGAAAAAACTCAGTTTCAATTTCGTTCAAAAAATTAAAAATGTCCATTTTAGCGAAATGGTGGTTCTCACAACATTGCACTATGAGATTCCAAACCCTATCTTCTGAGAACTGAACATCCTTTGGAGCGGGCGGAGGGGATCCAACACCTTCTCTTTCCTGATCTTCCATTGTCCCTCATCTGACGAAGTTTAAGGAAATGTTAATCCAAAACCGAAAAAACAATTTTTTGACAAAGCTCCAAAATAGTGAAATTGATGGGTAAGAGAGTAAAATTTTTATCACTGTATCACACCGACATAAAACGAAGCACGCTTTGTCCTCAAAGAGAAATGGCGGTTGATTCACTTTTTATCCTCATACTGAATTGTTACTATTGTGATATGAGATTCTACCATTTCAAATACAAGGACATCAACAAAAACTATTGGCATAGGTTTGTACGAAGTTACTATCAGTACACACATTGTTACCACTGCTTTGTACAAATGATAAAGATCCAAACTTCAATACCGATCCACCTTATCACTAGTAGAAGTGACTCTATCTTTTACATTGAAGTACAAAACAATAACTTTTGGGTGGGAGCCTAGGTAGATGGTGGGTAAACTGTTGATGCATAAAGGTATACTATTTAAACTTGAAACTTCAGATTGAGAAGAGAAGCCCAAACAAAACCACTCTTATACGATTTTCACACAATAGTTGATAATCTTGATAAAGTATGAAGAAAAACTTTGTTTGGATAAAGGTATACTGTTGATGCATAAAGGTATACTATTTAAACTTGAAACTTCAGATTGAGAAGAGAAGCCCAAACAAAACCACTCTTATACGATTTTCACACAATAGTTGATAATCTTGATAAAGTATGAAAAAAAACTTTGTTTGGATGTAAAGAATTACGATACCTAAGGGAATCTTTATCACTGTATCACACCTTAATCCAAAACATAAAACGAAACACGCTTTGTCCTAAAAAAGAGATGGTGGTTGATTCACTTTATATCCTCATTCTGAATTGTTACCATTATGACATGAGATTGACAATGTACCATTTCAAACACAAGGACAGCAACAAAAACTATTGGAATAGGTCTGTACGAAGTTACTATCAGTACACACATTGTTACCACTGCTTTGCACAAATTACAAAGATCCAAACTTCAATACTGATCCACCTTATCACTAGTAGAAATGACTCTATCTTTTACATTGAAGTCGAAAACAAGAACTTTCGGGTAGGAGCCTAGGTAGATGGCAGGTAAACTGTTGATGGATAAAGGTCTACTATTTAAGCTCGAAACTTTAGATTAAGAAGAGAAGCTGCAAGCAAAACCACTCTTATACGATTTCCACACAATAGTTGGTAATCCTGACAAAGGATGAAGGAAAATTTTGTTTGGATGTAAAGAATTACGATACCTAAGGGTGTGTTGCATTTGAGATACCGGATCGAATGGGGGAAGGACTATTCCGCTTGAGAAAAAGCAATCTACCGAATATTTGCCGCCCAGCTTAAACCTTTTGCAACCTATTCCTAACTTAAAAACAGTAAAACGACAGTAGAAAGATTACTCATCTTATAAATAACGACATCAACCATCCACCTTTTATCTACATAATACTGAGAAATCAGAACTAAATGCATTTCGATAATTGTAACATACACCGATCCGTGGTCGAAGCATGGTAGAGGTCCGAGTGTTGAAACTCTTTGTTGAGTTCGCTGGGCTGAAGCTCGAGGACAGTAACTCTTTCGATGCTGACTTAGGTCTTCGTTTGAAGAGCACCAATTTGAAAGTCCCTTTGCTTACGCTAGGGCTGATAAAACTTCCTGTTCTAAGATGCTATAAAAAAGGTCATTGTTAGCCATTTACGATGATAGGAATTTCTGTGATAGATTGTCAATAAGCAGTCGTGATGGGTAGCAAGATAGGAGTTACTGGGTTATCACAGTAAAAAAAACGATTCGAGCCGCATACATACTTAAAGTGGCATCGCCGACACGTACTTCTTCATGAGAGACGGAGAGGTAGTAAGTTTCCTCAACATGGAGCAAAGATCTGCTCTGGCTCAGAAATTCCAGATCTTGAAATATCCTCAAGGCCTTCAACTGGTTTCCTTGGAAAAGGTCTTATGAGATAACATCGAGTACAATCCACGCAGTAGACATCATTTAGTGCTATACTTCTCCACAATATACAATATTTACCTCACTACAGGCTTTGCTATGGCTCTCTTCCTCGTCCCGTGTAACACGGTTGCAGGAGACAATGAACAGTACCCAGCTTCAATAAGGCGTCGAATCGTTACTGGACAGGCGGTACGGTGCGTTCTGTAACACAGGCGCATGAGGGAGTGCTAACCGAGCGCCTCTAACAAGCCCCCTATCACTCCCCAAATGTTTTTTTTCTGGCTGGTGGGGACAACCTTTTCCATCCAGTAGGCCGAGCCCCTAATTGTGGTGCAGGGACTGGAGGTTTCGAAAACACAATAGGAAGGCGTCAACAATTCGTTTTTTTCTGATTTGACCCTCAAACGAGAGACGCACAACTTCCAAGGGATTCAAAAACCAAAGGGCCCTCAACTTTTAGGGGCCTCAGAGACAAATACGTGAAACTTGGATGGCTCACTGACAATTCTGCCCCTCTACCCCTTGAAGTCTTCAACCATTCATCCCTCTGCCGGGTCTGTTGAAGTTGGTCCTGATCGGCTATGGACAGGGGAGAGGTGTTTGCTCGAGGAGGGGAGGAAAGAACTGCAGGCACGTGTCGCGCTGTGGTGGTGACGAGTGCCATCTGGAGCTTCCTCCTCTCGGAGCGGCCATAGCCAACCTGTGCAAGTATGGAATCTTTGTCCGCCATCGCCGCCGGGACATATAGCTTGAACGACGATTCCCAGGACCACATCAACGATACCGATAATGCAAATCGCCATAGCCAAACAGGTCACGAGCTCTACGCGGCCTCTTTAGAATCGATCCTAGCTGCCGCCAAGCGCATAGGACCTCTCATACATCGAACGGCTGTGCTTACCAGCTCCTCCATAGCTGAGTTGTCGGGAAATCGCACGTTCTTTTTCAAGTGTGAGATGTTCCAGAAAGGGTTTGTCTCCTCCTTCCTCCCTCCTCCTGCTTCCGCCACACCTACCTCCTCCTCCTCCTCCTCCTCGTCCTCCTCTGTTTCCCGTATTTGTTGTCTCCGGCTTCGCCGCCGTCCTTTGCTTTCCTCTCATGCGCCATCGCCGCCTGGATCTGCTTTCGCCTCCTTTCGTCCTCCTGCGCATGCTTCTCTCCTTCGCCTCTTGCGCCGTCTTCCCCTGCTCTCCGCCTTCTCTCCGCCTGCTCTCCGCCTGCGTTCCGCCTGCTTTCCACCTCCACGTCTTCGGCCTCCTCCTGTGCCCACGTTTGTATTGTTAGATCTGCTTGATCCCTTCCCTATTCCGCATCGACAACTCCTCTTCAGTCTCCTTCCTGTGTGTGTGTTTTGGTGTTTCCGTATGCCTTTCCTCTCCCGTCCCTTTCTCCCTCTTCCCTCGTCCCCCATTTTCTATAGTAACCACGCCCTGCGGACTCTGCACCGTCTCTATCTTCGGCGCAGCCACCATCGCGGATACCGGCCCAAGTCATCGCCCTGATTCCATGTTTATTTTTTCGGCCTATAAGCAATTTTTTCTTATCGGAAATTCATGGGCAATCCATTGCTTGATCAGATTTGCTAAAAACTGTCATCGTCGTCGTCGTCGTCGTCGAAGAAGAAGAAGGTGGAATAGAAGAAGGATTGAATTAAATCCTTACGCTTCACGTGCCGATCCCAAGAATAGAACACATACCCTCCAGGTTAGGAAGGAAACACGCAACCAAACGGCTAAGTGGACTGGGGTGAAAGTTAAGCCCCAAGATGAGCACTTAACCCCACCCCACCCCAGCACGGGTACTCGTTTTTCCCCGCGACCCGGTGTACCCAGTCACACACACCCAACACAGGCGTCGACGCACCCACCACGCAATGTACGACCTCACTGCAGGTTGCTACGCAGGTAATAATAATAATAATAATAATAATAATAATAATAATAATAATAAAATAATAATAATAATAATAATAATAATAACAATAAGAAGGTGGAATAGAAGAAGAAGAAGAAGAAGAAGAAGAAGAATAGTGCAAAACTCAGTGGCCATAGACTGCTTCTGGCACATGCAACAACAGAATCTGATGAGCATTCTTCCTCATGTCCAGTTTTCAGTCGAAACGGCGCACATTTCCCGAGGCGTTTTGCCCAGGCTGCGCCGCTGGCACTCCTCAGGGGGCTTCTCCACAGCTGGCCTTGCGGCACCCCCAAACTTTCCAAATGTCTGTCTAAAAATAGAGGGATGACGTCCTTACCCTCTCGTTTGTACTGGTCGTCACCTACCTACAGGCCTACTACCGGTACCTTCTTCCCCCGAATACAACGTACGGTCATTATATCTGTATTTGAGGCATCATTCAGTCTAGATTCAGCTATAATGACCCTACGGCGTACGTTGTATTCGGGTTAAGAAGGTAGTCACACGCTCGTCGTCCTAGGTAGTCCCCCGTGTCACATTCAGTTCTGTATTGGCAGTGTGCTACGTACAAATTCGGATTTACGTACAAATTCGGATTTACGTACAAATTCGGATTTTTGAACCCCAAATCCGAATTTTTGAACCACAAATCCGAATTTTTGAACCCCGCTCTGCAACAAGAATTGGAGAATTAACGTTCCGGCCTGCTACTACTTATCGTCATGATCGTCAGCAATGATTGGCCAGCTGCTTATCATCATGAGTTTCGTCAACGGCTTATCATCATGAGTTTTGTCAAGGGCTTATCATTATGAGTTTCGTCAAGGGCTTATCATCAGTATCAATCATGCTATCATTATTTCTAACTCTTGTTGTCTCCTTTTCAATCAACTTCCATGCCGAGGCATCCTTCAGGGACATCCGTTACAATTGGAAAGGGTAAATTAGCAAATGGCCCCTGCGCAAGGGTGACACGCATAAATCAAGAAGGGGAAAAAAAAAAAGAAGAACTTCCCTGCATCTGATGAAACCGATCCTTCTCCGTCATCCACGTGGCTTGTCCATGTACTCGCCGATTTCCCCCGAATCTCATCTCCACCAGCATCCATCCCTTAGGCCTGTGCCAACGCGCTCACCTGCCTGCCAGCCTTTTGTTTTGGTGCTGCCTCCTTTTCTTTCTGGTTTTGTTTTTCTATGCGTGTCATCCTTGCGCAGGGGCCATGCTAATAATCTTCTCTGTATCGTTCCAATTTTAACGGATGTCCCGAAGGACTGCTGCCTCTTTTGGCCTTGCTGATTGTGGTGTTACGTGTATGGCTGTCCCACTCACAACAGGGATTGAAGTAGACCATGGGCGTGGCTCCACTACTCACCAATGTGCGAACTGAGAATGAATCTTCCGCAGAAGATGGAAAGATACGCCGCCATTTGTTTTGTCTTTTGTGCTTGTGGTTGTTTTGTCTTTTGTGCATGTGGTGAGTAGTGGAGCGACGCCCCATGGCTCGCAGGATCAATATGGGTAGTCATGTCTTGGTGTGAAGCTTGGTCGCGGACAAATTGGTATCACACACAGGCACAGCACACACAACAGACACAACAGACACAACAGACACAACAGACACAACAGACACAACACACGCAACACACACAACACACGTAGAATATAACAGCAAAGGCAGAATGACTACACGGCAATATCACGGTTTTGTGTGTTTTATGACGTTTGCTGTAGAATATTCTAAGGTCAAACCGTTTGTTTCAATTCTGGATGTTCTCATCTGGCTGAAAAAGGGCTTCTTATGGTGATTGTTATGCATGTAGAAGAAACTACGGTCAAGCAGGTTTTTTTTTT